CGCTGCTTGTGCCCTGTGCAGTGGGCCCAGGGTGATCACCTTCCAGGATTGTTGCAGCGACGTCTTCGTGGTGCCCGACGTCGCGGTGCTGGCGGGCTGCAGCCTGGCGACGACGATGGTCAAGGTTTTGTTGTGCCAGCTCTTCGCGGGCATCCAGCGCATCCGCCCCTCGGTGACGCTGCGCAACGTAGCGGACGACGTGTCGGCGCAGAGCATCGGCGCGGCGGAGCACGTCGGGCAGCAGCTGGGGGCGGTAGGCCGTGAGCTTGCCAGTGGCTTCGCGCGCCTGCGCCTGCGCCTAGAGGCTTCTAACAGTTTTTTTTTGGGGGGGAATCGTGCGGGGGCGTCGCAGACCGATTGGCTGCCGAGTGGGCGGACCTCTGTTTCGGTCGGAAGAGCGTCGCCCGCAACCTTGGGGCCGACGCTGCGTCGGTCGGACGTCGCCGAGCTCCGATTGCGAAGCGTAGGTCGATGAAAGGGGTCCGTCGTGCCAGCCGATTGCGCAGGCTCCGAGAAGCGGGTGCGAAGACCGGCTCGGTGTACCGCTCGGGGCCTCAAGCTGGATCGTTGTGGGGGGCGGCGGTGATGGGTTTGTCTGGGCGTCAGTTGCGCGGCCTGAGGCTCCAAGCGGTCACCAGCCTTTTTTAAAGACAAAGCAGACCTCTTCCGTGGGGCTCCGTCTTCTGTCCAGCTCCCTGGGGGGCTCAGATCTGCCCGAGCAAACTTTACCACGGTATTGTGGTTTTCATGTGGGCCAGGGCCGTTGGGGAGGGCCCCCGAGCCTGGCTAGTTTGCAGAGGTTTTGTTTCGGCGCGTGCGCACCTCCAGGCTTCTCGGAATCCTTGGGGAGTGGCGTGCTCGCCTGTTCACGTCCTCCTGCTCGCCCTCTCGGAGTTGGGTTGGATGGGGGACTCGGCTCGGCACTTTGTCACGGAGAGGGGCTGGACCTTCTCAGATTTTCGCCCAGTAAGGATGTTGGCTGAGAGAGCGGCACTTGCTAGGTCAGACGCGGCAGCGCTGTCTCACCACCAGTCAGAGGGGGCCTGGACTAGGCCGATCTTCTGGAAGCCCCTTCGACAAGCCCTGGAAGGGGAGTCGGTCAGAGGTTTGGACGGAGCATCACCAGAGCGCCGCTTGATCGCTTGTCTCGATGGCCAGTTGGACGCAGCAGAAGTAGCTTGACCACGGGATCTCTGCCTCGGGACTTTGTCGGGCCTGCCGCGGGGGCCCAGGTGCGCTCTTTCGCCGTAGGGTGCATTGCCCAGCGTGGTCTGTCAGCCGCCGTGACCTCTGCGATCCTCGAGCTCTAGCCGCGCTCAGGGGAGTCGAGCTGCGGGGTCAGGAGCGGGAACGAGCGGCCTGTGGTATTTTCCCCAGACTGATGGACCTTCCTCCTGCCCCTCTCTACTCGTTCAATTCCGAGTTCCAGATTCACTGGGTCAACGGGCCTGCCTCAGGAGCCATGTCGGGGATAATCTTTTCTGACGGTTGGGCCGTGTTTCCCGATTGTGAATTCAGCCGTCGCGCAGGTTGGTCGCTTGTCATGACTGACGAATGGGGGCGCCTTCTCTCGTGCGCGCACGGCGCCGTGCCAGCCGACCTTGCTCCGTTCCAGCGGGCCCGCGATGGAGAGGATGCTGCAATATTATTCGCTTGTGTCTGTGTCTCAGAGTCCGTTGAGTTTTACATAGATTGCCAGGGCACGGTGGATTGCTGCACCTCGCCAGCTTTCGCATTCGATTCGTCGAGCCCGAGGGCCCATCTGTGGACTCGAGTCTTCCAGAGGTTTGATTCTGGCCTCACGGTTCATAAAACCAAGGGTCATGCGACCCAGGGGGATGTGGACGCGGGTAGGACGTCTGGGTGGGAGAGGGAGGGGAAACGGCTTGCCGACCAGTATGCCCGCCGCGGTGCGGGCGCCCATCCGGACGCGACTGCAGCGGCGAAAGACATCAAATGCCTCGGCAGGCTGGTTCTTTCGGTCGCTCGGTGGGCAGGTTCCCATGAGGCGCTGATGTCCCGAGGCTCTCTTCAGGGCGCAGACGCACTGCCAGGGGCCGCCGCGTCAGATGTACAGGCTGAGCGGCAGGCTAGGCGCCTCGCCGCCCGCGTCACGCGCCGCGTGCCGTCGGCCATGCTGTCGTCGCTGTCTCGTGGGCGGTTCAAGTTTCAGAACGAGGCTGAGACCCGAGGCTCCCCAGATCCAGAGCTGTCGCTGCTGTTTCAGCTTCTTGGGCATGAGCTGAGGGTCGCCTCTGTGTTCGATGCGAACGGTGCTTCGATTTTGTCAGGCCCTCGGTGCTTGATTTGTATAGCGTGTGGTGGCTATGCCTGGGCAGCTGCCCAATCGTTGGCCAAAGGTTGCCCGCGCAGGCCACCCACTAAGCACGCGAGGCGCCAGCTGAGTCGGGCCTGGGGGGGCGATTTCCCGTCCTGGGGTCCTGTGTGCCGTGGGTGGCGCCTTGGGCCCTTGATGGAGCCCTCGGCTGCGGACCTCCTT